ACAAAATAGCAGCGACATCACATCAAGTCACAGTGTAGGTAGTTTTGAGGACCCTCCCACCTTAAAGTTGTTTATTACCATAACGGATAGAAAAGGGAAGCCCTCAGGCCACCTTGATGCAGTTGGGCTGCTCAGGTTTGCAAACCCCACTGAGGCAAATAAACTGATGTCCCTCACATTTCCTCCGGGTCACTTTTTTGCCCTTAGTCTCCACATCTATGAAGGGTCTCCCTCTTTGGGGCCTCAGCCCTCACACACAGTAAAACATAGACCAATCCAATATATATATCGCTTTCATATATGTTCTAAATTTAATTGGCACTGAGTTATACAACTGGATCTTTAATTTAAAAAATATTGATTCTTGCTTGCTCACACTTCCATTCTTTCCCTGTTGTTAATTCCTTCTTGGGTTCTTTGTGGCACAGTATTTCTCTGCCCATCAAAAGATGATGATGTAGCAAAAATTAAAGGAGACTTAGGGGCCCGGAAAAGGGCTAAAGAACTCCTCGGGAAGCTCAGATACCAGGAACCCCCTACGCTTCTCTGGTTGTCCCTCATGGTTCAGCCCACAGCATTTTCTACCCTCTGCCTGCAAGCCCACCTGCCTCCTCAGATCATGGAAAGAGATATACTCCCAGTTTCTGGGATTAGCAATGGGACAAGTTCAAAAACAAAACTGAAAGGTAAGCTCCACAGTGAGTGCTGTCATTACTGCTGCAGACCAATGATTATTGCAGTTCTGTGGGGAGGGAGGGTCCCCACAAGCCTTCATATTGCAGGGTGGTTGTGCCCCAACCATCCTCAATGGTTGTTAAGACCATTAACAGAGCCCATGGCCGTGGCAGTGGGTTGTCAGGTAAATATTTTCAATCTCTGTTGGAACAGGGCAGTCTGTAAGGGAAGGTGTATTGGAACCTAGGGGGAACCGGTTCATGTCCAGAAAAAAAAGATCTTCCTGGGGTAGAAAAGTGACCCTTTAGTGGCAAAAAAGGATGTGTAGCTAATACAATGAGTTTTTTTTTTTAAGCCGGTGAAAGAAAAAGCATTTTAACAGGCAACTACTATAAAAAATTATCCAAGCAGTAGTACGACAAACATTTTTTTAAAGGAATTAGTCTACCATGTCCCTAGTCTACTCTGTAATTTTATTATAAATAACTAATATTTTCTTGGGGGGAGGGAAGGATGTGTACTCAAGTCCAATCATGCCTCAGTTCATTGAACTCCACATCCCTCATTTCAGGTTTGTGGCCTTAGATACGTCTATAGGTGCCCTCTTTCCAGGGGCATCTGCTGAATTTGTGCCTCTGTGCCACATTTTGGTAATACACTCTTTCAGACTTTTTCATAATGTTTAACTGCTGACTGTAGGCTCTCATAAAGATCACAGCCAAGCAAACCCCATGTACCCTGTCATACATAGGGTCACCTGGAGTCAAACTGGCTCGATGGCTCCTAGTTTGGGGCAGAAATAAGTGCCCTGCCAAAGCCACACAGGACGAAGAGTTAAACGTG